GGCCTCCAACCTACTTGCGATGGCCTCCAACCTACTTGCGATGGCCTTCAACCTACTAGCGATGGCCTCCAACCTAATAGTGATAGGTTTGTTCAGCGGACGTTCAAGGTCTGAAATTCAAATCTTTGGTTGCTTCGATTTATTTCTAACCGATTCTGCATATTCTGCATGCTTCTTAGGCCTCAGAGTATCCCTTCAAAGACTACTTGCGGATCTTCTCATGGATTTTGGACGGTGACAAGGAGGCAGGCGGGTGGTGCCAACTTCAGTAGAATTCGGCATGTGGCTGCATTTAGTGGATCTTAATTTCTTGTGCAATGCTGCGAGACATGGCCTGCATGTCCTAAATTGGAAGGTCCCGAGTCCTTGTGCCTTGGCGAGATTTGTCCCAGATGTGTTTCAGGTCCAGCGGAATTGCCCCGGCGCCTCGAAGCTTTTAGAGCCCTTCAAATGGCAGTTGCCACGTCTCCGCACCGACAAGTTGCCCGGCTTTGGAAAACAAAACGGGAAACAGGGAAAGAGTCTCCAGAAACATGGACAAAGAGGAAACGAAGAGGAACCAATAAAGCAAGGAAAAGACATCGCTCTTAGGTTGAAATATAAAAGGAAAAACACATGTTTCAAGGGCTTTCCATTTCGATGTTGTGACCAGATCAGAGCCACCTCTACCATGAATTCCGGACGCCAAAGCTTGGGGTTGGTGGAAGGCCGGGCTGAATGGGTGTTCATTGCTGTAGATGTCACTCGCTCCAGTCACGGCACATCCTTTCCTTCGGAGCAGAAGTTCTCCACCCACTATCACTGCCAATGCTCACATTCTCTGGGACACCCCAGATCCTTGTAAGATCCTTCGTGTCTCCATTCTTCTCACCTACCTGGCGTCGTTGAGGGATGACCCTTGCCTGCACCTACCTACGTTGTCTTCCTACCTACGTGCAGATTCTTTTTCTTCTCCCATCTTGGTCTGCCTGGTTTGTGTTGCAGATTTTCCGTTCCTGTCTCCGGCTGACCGGTCTCCCAATTCCCTCCGTTCTTTGTCGATTCGTGCCCTGTCTCCGACTCCCAGTGTTTGTTCGGCAAGTGTATTGAAAAGCGCAGGATCAATGTGATGTCCTGCATTCAGCAGGCTGACAAAAGCGGCAGAAGCCTCCATTGCAGTAGGATTCGAACCGAGAACTGCCCAGTCCAGCTTTCTTTCATGCCATTCAGAACGATTTCTGATGTTGAGGCTATATTTGGGCTCTGACGATGCTGCCGTGGTAGAGGTGGCTCCAGTAGCGGAACAATGCGACCACATGACTCGACAAAAGGGTGTCCTTGTGCGTTCCAGGTTTAGCCGCCTTTCTCTTGTCTAGTAAACCTTGACCATTTCCAAGTCTTTCTAGAATGCCTCACCCCTTGCTCATTAAAGAGATAACTTTTTGAATTAGGTTGAAACGGACTTTGGTTCTTTTGTGCAAGTTCAAACACAAATGCAAGTTTAGTTGGGTTGATGGGTCTAGGTCTTGAACTGCTAAGAACGCATGTTTTTCCCTAGGTCTCAGGGTTCTCAGGTTCTTTGTTGTCCTCCTTTGGAGGGAGTACTTGGCCTCCAACCTCTGCCCAGGAGGCTAGACACAAGTTTGGGGAGAAACTGATCTGGATGAACGTCTCTCGATTGTCCAAAAGGCGCGTGCAAGTTCAAAAAAGGAGGGACATAATTCAAGCGATAGCCTTTGTATGCTTTCAGTTCATACCAAGTGTCGCAAGGCCGAAAAATCGAGTTGTCAATTGTCGCATGCCGCGGACGTCGTAGTAGAGAACCTAGTAGAGAACCTCCATTTGTCAATCTAACTTGACAGAGAGAGAGAGAGAGAGACAGATCGGACCCACTATAGACACCTGAAGGAAGTTGAATCGTGGAGTTGAATCGTTGTGGGTTGTAACAAGAAGCTACTAGGAACAAGTGCATCGCTACTAGTAACAAGTGCCTTACTACTAGTAACAAGAAGCTATTAATTTAGATGGAATCTAAATTTAATTCTAACTTGGACATGTTTCTTTTTTTCTTTTTCCGTGCGAGGATGTCGCTGATGAAAGTGTCCAAGGCGCTAGGAGCCAAGGAGGTGGTCATGGAGTCCTTGCTTTCCTGGCATGTTTCACTGGGAGCAATCAAAAAGGGCAACAGAAATGAAAGTAAACATGACAATCATCACAATCAGTCGTATTCTCAGGTCCTTCAGACTTTGGGCTGTTTCTTTTCTCATGCGATAGTCTAAGAAGGGTCAGACCTCTGCCAAATCAGACGGTATCTTCTTGAAGCTAAAATGTTTGTTGAAAACTATCATGAAAAGACATCATGAACAATATTTCTGTCACCATCAAGTCTTGCTCTTTCTTTCTGCGAGGCTCAATCTGCAGCTGCTCATGGAGTCCGATGCCTTTCTTTGCACTTGGACTTCCAACTGGCCGGATGCGCCGGGACGTGCCGTTTGGAACGCTCAACGTAAGAGGACCTTAGAGATCTTCACTGCTTCTTGCTCACACAAGATATACTTCTTCGTTCTTTGTTCGACCCTTCCTTTCTTTTCTTCTTGCGTATCTTCCTTTTTTCTCTAAAGGATGGGTCTGGGACCTGCCCATTGCTCGAGTTTTTCTGCGTCAAAGCAGTCGAAGAGAATCGCAGGTGCCGCCTGGTTGACGAGATGCGGATGACGGCTGGAACTCCAGTGGGCGACGCGACTGCGAAAGTGAGAGCACCTATCAACGTGCGTGCATGGTGGGCGAGACGAAAGGAAGAGAAAGAAAGGGAACAAATTGAAAAGAGAACAGAAAACAATGAGAAACGTTTCGGAAAAGATAAACTTTTGAACGCTTTTCCTTGTTTTTTGAGTAGGTAGAGGCATCCGAGTGGCTGAGGTGGGGATGAAGGCAACACATCTTTCGCTGGAAGTGAACAGGCGCACGGCGCACAGGAGTTTAGAGGGCTGTGCTAAAATTTGGGTTGGAGGCCATTGCTACTAGGAACAAGAAGCTACTAGGGACTCCTGGCCTTACTACTAGGAGCAAGGGCGATACTAGGGGCACCTGGCATCGCTACTAGGAGCAAGGACGCTACTAGGGGCTCCTGGCCTTACTGCTAGGAACAAGAAGCTACTAGGGGCTCCTGGCCTTACTACTAGGAGCAAGGTCGCTAGCAGGTTGGAGGCCATCGCTATCACTTGCCAGGATCCAAGGTGGGTATTGACAGCACTTTGTTCGGCTCGCCTTGAGAACACAGTTGAATTTCCCAAAAGAATGTGTTCAAACCTAGTAGCTTCTTGTTCCTAGTAGCGTTCTTGCTCCTAGGAGTACGGCCAGGAGCCCCTAGTATCGTCCTTGTTACTAGTATGTTCAAACCAACAAAAACCGAAAAGGGAACGCTTTTGGGCAAGTCGTGCTCCAGGCACTGTCCACGCTTCAACTGGGTCCATGGGAACGGCGCTGACACTCCCGACTTCCGCTGAGTGAAAAAGACACCGTCCCGTGAACACTTTCATTTTTTGTGATTGCTCGATAAGAAGATAAAACATTGCGACAAAGAAGATAAGAACAGGTTCAATGGTCCAAAGAAAACACGGGAAGGCAGTGATGGGTTCGGGAGGACCTGAGGGCGTGTTGTGACGTCCTTTGCTGCACAGGGCTGCGCAGCTGTTTCGGTTTCCTTTCAGCTCTGAATTCGGACAAAAGCGAGAAGACCAATCTGGCAAGACTCCAAGTTTGGATATTATCCTTCCAGTATGGTAGCAAAGGCCAAGACCAGTTTCTTGAAACAGATTTTGTCAAACAAGAAAGGCAAGATGCAGTTTCTTTTGCTGCAATCTTTGATACAAAAGGTTTTCACGTCAAGGATTTCTGAAGTCAACGCAAGGCGCTAGGTCCGGTCCAAAGATGGTGTTTGCCTCCGCCATGCGATGCACCGGGCCACAGCGGGGGTTTCAAGTGGAAGGGCAGCTCAACTCCGAAATGGATTAGTAGCGTCCTTGTTCCTAGTAGTAAGGCCAGGAGCCCCTAGTAGCTTCTTGTTCCTAGTAGCGATGCCAGGAGCCCCTAGTAGCGTCCTTGTTCCTAGTAGTATAATGTCAGGAGCCACTAGTAGCTTCTTGCTCCTAGTACTTTTGTCAAACATAATGTTTCAGAATGGTTTTTTGCATCTTGCAGATTTCCTGCTGACTTCTTCAGGCTCAGAAGGCTTTTGTTCTTGATCATTTTGCGACAAGATGCGTCCTCAAGGTGCAACTGCTTGACTTGCTTTTAAGTCTAGGAACCAAATCATTAGTGCGAGCGTGAACTATCCGGCGTCCAGTTACTAGAAGCTAACTAGTCGCCTAGTAGCTACCTCAGTTCCTTACTTAACTAAGTAGGCACCTACTTAATTAAGTAGGGAGGCGTGCCTCGGGCTTTAAATTACACCCCCGTAGACCCCAAACAGTTTGTGCTTTTCAAATCGAAACTAGAGCTTGCGACGTCCAGAGCTGGGAGACAAAGGATTGCGTACAGAGCGGACGGACACATCTTAAGAAAGAATTGACAAGCCCCAACAGCAAACCTTTTGGGGAAATATTCTTCAAGTGCGAACATGATGCTGGTCATGCTGCTCAATCAGCGGGGAGCTGACCACGTGCGGACAAGAAATAAAAGCATGAGGACCGAAGGATGTATGCCCTCCGTCCCAATTGAACAGAGAGATCGCTGCCACGCCGCCGAAATCCAATCCGGTCATTCATCCAACGCTTGCCCGAAAAGGAAAATTAGCCCAGCTGAAGACCCCAATAGCAAGATACAAACCGGGACAAAAAGAAAAATCTGGAAACAACTGCTGTTTTCAACACATCGACCATCTCTTCCTTGGACACCATCATCACATAACCTGGACACCATCACAAAATGACCAGGGCACCATCAAAACATGACAGAGACACCGTCACAACATGACTGGGACACAATCAAAACATGATCGGGACACCATCACAACATGACCGCGCCACCATCACATGGTCGGGACACCATCAAAACATGACCGGGACAACGTCACAACACGACCGGGACACCATCAAAACATGACCGGGACACCAT